GGAACCTGTGTCCCTGGTGGGCGTTGACGTGTGTGTGTTTGTCCCCGAGTCCCCCGGGTTGGGGGTGGCAGGGCTGTCCCTCGCCCCCCGCGGTATGTCCTGGCCGCCGCGATGTCTGCGTGGGGCTGAGGGAGGTTAGGGGGTGGGTGTGTGTGTGGCTGGGGCCGACTCTGACTCCGCCGCCGTGTGTGTGTTTCCGTGTGTGTGCACAAGGCCAGGGCTGTCTCTGACCCCTGTACGTGCCCGTGTGCTGCCTCTAGAGACGGGGCTCTCCTGACTCCCCCGAGCATATGCTCGGCGTGGCTGTTGCCATCCCCCCTCTGTTACAGCGCCCAAACCTCTCTCTCTGTGCCCACTGTTGGTTTTTTTTTTTTTTGGCAGGTGCGCAGCAGGGCTGTCCGAGTCATGATCGAGGTGTTGGCCAAGCTGGGCCGCGGGCCTGTCTTCCTGGCAGGAGAGGTGCTTGAGTGCGTGATCACTTTCACCAACCCGTTATCGGCCTCCTCTACATCTGCCAGCAGGTACGGCAGCCTGTGCCGGTGGGTCCTTCTGTGCATGAAGCCTGGAAGTGGCAGAGCTGTCTGGGTCCCTCCACAGGGAACAGCGCTCCCTGCCTCCTGAGCAGCCAGATATAGTCATGGTGGGGTTGTGGGGCAATGGTGCCAGCTCAGCCACTGGTGACTTCCCTGCCTGAGGTACTCCCTTAAATGGTGCTTTGCACCATCTCCGTTTCAGGGCTGAAACTGAGGTAATTATTCTGGTTGTCTGCCCCCAAGAAATAGATGAGAAAAAAAGTATGCAGTTAGAGATGCTTTTAACTGCCTCTCAGGTGAGCCCTCAGCAACACAGTTACTGACAGAAAATGAAGCCAAACTGGCTGTCAGAGCAGGATATCTAGTTACACCAGAGTGACAGTCTCACAGGGCAACATCCAGACAACGTCATTATTTCCTGCGTTTGTGGAAGGAGCTCTTTCTGTCCAGCAGTGTGCTGACATATCAGTATGATTCCTGCTTGCAGAGCTGGCAGGCAAAGGGGTAAGCAATGCCCAGAGGCAGAAGGAGGCAGCCTTTTGTGGCTGCATTACATGTGGCCCAGCCTTTGAGCGCAGCATGTCCCCTTATCGTTACTGTGCCTGAAACGGGTGTTGAGGAAATGTGAGAAGGTGGGAGCTTCCTATATTGGCTCACAGAGGGTGACTCTACATCATAAGTAGTCACCTGAAGCCTCCGTCTCTGCTGAGTATGTGGCTTTGTCTGAGTCTCCAGAGGGTGGAGGGTGCTTTCTCATCTTGAGTCCTTCCTGGGAAGTGTCCATTTCTAGCCCTGTCAGGTTCAGCATCTTTTCATCACCAGTACGCATTTCACACGTGATTGTTTTGGTAGACCCACTTCCAGTGCTTGCAGCCTCAGCAGCAGCAAAACAGTCTCTTGTATTACTGCTTCTTTGTTTATTGCCTTCCTTAACTTTCTATCTTTTCTTCCTTGTTCCTTTTGCCTGCTGAATTCAGTTTTCAAATTAAGCTGTGGCATAAGCAGCTGGCTTTCCAGAGTTTTGTCTTGTGCAGTGGCAGTGCTGTTCTTCTGGGTTCTGAAACATGTGGGACTGCAAGTGTACCCAGTGGAACAGATTTAGAGATTTGCAGCAGAGTTACAGGAGCTTTGTTTGGGAACTTCGAGTGTATCAGGGTCCATAGAAAACTGCCTCTTGGAACAAGGGAAGTTTTTAAAATAAAAAAACAGGTGACCAAACTGACAAGACCTAGCTAAGTCATATGAGTGGCAACACCAGATAGATTGGTGGTTTGGAAATAGAATCTGTGGGTTGCATAGACAGTGACTGCAACAGGCAGATAGACCTGTCAGAGACTAGAAGCTTTCAGGGCCAGCAAAAGCTGCAGCACCGGTGGATGAACTGAGAGGCATGCATTGCAAGCACAGGGAGACTGAAGGACAGGAGGTAAATGGCAGAAAGTGAATTTGTGGTGTATGAGGTGTACAAGTAACAAAGCTTTTCTGCCCAAAAGCTGTGTGGAGTGCAGCCTGTGTGGGCTAAAGAGTTTTAGGGGCAGGTGAGAAAGGAGGGAAGTGACCTCAGCAGGCACGCAGGATCCTTCTGCATCCTGCCACCTGGACAAGCCAGGTGTGCCGGTAGGAAGGCACATGCAAATTTTGTTTGGGTGTCTGGTGAAAAAGATAAAAACAATCCAGTGGCATATTATTGGGCAATACTGGAAAAAAAGAAAAAAAAAAATTTAAAATACAGTGTTTGAAGGTAGTGTAATCATACTAAGCTTATATAAAGTTCGGAAACATTGTTTCTAATGGAAGAGCATTTCTCTGTTTCCATAAAGCAGATACCTGACAATGGGAAACCTTATGGCAGCCCTTATGGAAAATCCATGCTGGTACTTCTGAGGGTACAGAATTGCAATTCTGGGGTTAGAGGTAACTGGGTAGAGTAACCAGCACGTTTGGGTAAAGGCAGCCAGCACATGCAGAAGATCAAATAGCCAGTTAGTCAGCTGAAACAAATGCAGCACGCCTTTTTCTCTGGTTTGTCTAGATGTTTAAGACATCTAGACATATCTCTGATGTGTCACATCAAGACATACCTGTGTGCCACAAAAAATTCCTGTGCCACCTAAAACTCCAGTATCAGTGCTTACTAATCAGATCACAATGTTAGAAAATGTCAGAGGAACCATGCACTGGCTAAGTTACCGAGACCACTATTAAAATGAAAACAGGTGTTTTGTAAACTGAAAGGTGTCAGTAATGCCATGGGAAATGCCCTGTGGAGTGGATGAGGTCCTAGCAGAATCCAGAACTTGAGGCTGCTTTTCATGGTGGATGCAACCAGTTCTTGTGGTTGTACAGAGAGGGGGAAGAATGACACCTTCGCCTCCCCTATAGCCACAATCCCTTACATCAGGAGGAGAAAATAGATCCTTGAAGGACCTAGCAACATCCCTCTCTGATCTGACACAGCCAGAAGTTGATGTTCTTGAGGGGCACGTGCTGTGGTTCTGTCCCCTGCCTGCCTTAAGGAGTTTGGGAGCTGTGGGCAGGGGCAGCTGAACCAAGGTTGCAGATATCTGTTGCTTTTGAATTTGCCCACTTCCCTGATGGTTGTGTTATTACCCAAGGTGACTCGGAGTGCTGCTCTGCATGTCACTTCTGGCTTGAGACTTACCTCTTCATGGCTAAAAGTCCTCTGCCAGGCCTGGCCTGTGCACGACAGTTAGAGGTGTCCTCTCTGGGGCCAGTCCTCAGCTGTGGGTGATGAGAGAGATGACCGAGTGAGTGAGGCTTTGGATGGGATCTTGGGACACTTGACCTCAGTGTGCTTGCTGGAAGGTCCCTGTGAGGTTCTGCACAGGCCACCTTATCTCTGCCTGTGTGGAAGGGGTGACTGCTGACCTGTGCTGCTTGCTGTCTTCAGCCATGTGTGTACAGTGGGTGTCTCAGGGCAGGGGTGTTTCTTCACTCCGTGTCTGTGCTGTGCCCAAGGTGGTGTGGCTCAGACTGCAAATACTGCTGTTAAACAAGAGCCCTTGGGCCACAGAGCCAGGCCTTGGGTAAAACTGCTGTCGGCATCTGGGGTGGAAGTGGCTTCAGGTCAGCACCCCAGCTCAAGCTGGCACTGAAGACTTATTTGATGGTGGGCTGTGAGAGTGGCTTCAGTGACAGTGAAGCACAGCCTTCATCCTTCCAGACAAGCAGTCCTGCCTGGATCTGAGCAGCAAGAGCTGCTCTTCTCTCCATTTGTGCTTGCTGTAATCCAGGTTTAAAGCACAGACATGAGTGTTGCTCTTCTTTGCTCTCTCTCAGTGAGATGCTGGCATGGGCCAGCGCCCAGATCCACTGCCAGTTTCACGCCAGCGAGAACCGAGTGGTGCTCCCTCCCTCTGATGGCAGCAAGCACGACGTGCAGGCAGAGAATGAGACTGTCTTCGTCCCCAACAGAGGTGAGTGCTACTCCTGTAACCCGGGATAGGGATGGTGAGAGCACAGCGAGCAGGAATCAAGCAGACTATAATGTGTGTCTTGAGGGCAGCACGCTTAGAAGGGAGTGGGAGGTCTGTGTGGCTTTCCTTGTATGAGTCCCTGGTCATGGCTGCTGCAGGACCCTGTTCATGTTGAGATCAGAGTGGCACTAGCTTGGAGCAAAATGTGAGGGTTGTCTGTCCAGCTGTTCTGGGAATGTCTTATGATCTGACCAGGGCATGAGGTGTTTCCTCCTTGGCCTCTTCTCCTCCCCATTACGCTCCCTGAGGATAAGGCCTGGCTGGCCTCAGCACAGTGAGTGTCCCCCTCAGCCTAGGTCCCGAGGCTGGGCAGCATTCACGTGGTTCTTCTTCTTTTCCAGGAGAGCGGGGTCAGTGTATCCTGTCCACCCCACCAAAGATTCTCTTCTGTGACTTGCGACTGGATCCCGGGGAGTCAAAGTCCTGTGAGTCCTGTCTTCTCTTCCCCTGCTCAGAGAGCTTGCCTCTGGGGAGCCCCGCTCTCAGCTGGCTTTGCATCCTGAGTTCTGCGAGTGGGAGATCTGGTGCTCGCAGAAGGCGAGATGATTTGGTAGGAGCGTGAGTGCTAAGGAACTGCTGCATCATCCAGAGTCTGTTCTCCACCGTGTGAGGGTTGTGTTCTGCAACGTGTCTCTCAGTCCTGCCCCCGGCCTTCATCCTTTACCCCAGGTCCGTAGCATAGCTGTGAGGCATAAACCACTTTTAAAAACCTGGCTGCAGCTGAAGGAACGTTTAGACATACCTGTGTTTCCCTGCCTTTATTTCTTCAGCCACACTGGAGTATTCTTGGGATTTAGTCTGGCATCTTCCGAAGGTCTGAGCTTCCTCTCAGGTTGTGCCTGTCCTGGAGATTGCAGTCGTCTGCCTGTTCTAATTTTCCTACTGTAAAAGTGAGCACTTCTCTTCTGTGCAAAGCTTTCCACATTTCCAGAGCTCTCGAACAAGGTCCTTCCAGTGGGTCCTCTAAGCTCTCCATCACTATTTTCCCTTTTGTAGTTCAGAGGAAATTTCATCCTTTTCACAGGGAATTTGCAGCAATGCCTTTTTGTTTTCTGGGCAGCTTCTACCTGATTAGACAGCTGTGAAAATACAGCTATGTGCTGTTGTCTCTTGGTTGGTGGCTGTGTGGCCCAGCCTGTCAGTTCGTGTCGGATCTCCTTTGTGTTCCAGTGGCCCGCGGGCTAGTGCCAGTGTAACGTTAGGTGTTGCAGCCTGCATGTGGGGAGCTCCCTTGAGTTGTCCTAGGAATCTGCTGGAAATGGTCGACAAAGACCTCTTGAGTCACAGAGCATGGGGAGCGGAGGGGCAGTGCCTATGGTGGAGGGAGCTCTGCTGGAGCATTGAGCTCTGGGGAGGCGTGAGGAGAGCTGCAAGTGAGACCAAGGAGCTGCTGTTTACTTCCTATTCTACAGCAGCATGTGGGGGAAAGGAGCTGGCCTTGCCACATCGGAGCCAAAGTCCCCTATGCTTTGTAAAAGTGGACACATGGTCACCTCCAGGTGTCTGGGATGGATTGAGAAGATTTCCCTGTGTGCTGGCTTTGCAGGCAGAAGCAGTTCAGCCCCCAGCTAAGCTAGCAATAGTCTGTCCTTCCCAGTAATGGGGGGTGTGTGTGTGTGTCTGCTCTGCCACTGGGTGACACTGCCACAAGCAGCCTGCATCTGCTTTGCACTTGCATGCAGCTCCATTGGAAGGACACACTGTTCCACACTTTGAGGTTCCTCGGCTGCCTGTTACAGCCTTTCCCCTTGGTTATGTGATGCAGAGATCCACTGCATCTGTCAGGTGCAATACAGCTGCGTGTGGCACTGAGCTTTCTAGCACTGAATCCCCCGTATCACAGCTCCATCTCTGCCAGGCTGCTCACACTGATCTCGTCGGCCTGCAGAGCTGCTCCTCTCACGCGAGATTGCAGCTGGCACACTTGCAGTTCATTCCTGGGGGCTCCTGCCAGCTCTGTGGAGGCAGAGTTAAGGCTGTGTGGGTGTGTATCTTAATTCTTCATTTCCTGTTTTTCAGAAGTTTTGAGTTTTTCTGCACAGTTTGGAAAGGAAAAAAAAAAAAAAACCCAACCAAGAAATCTTAATTCTGCTTCAGCAAAGTACTGTGTTATTAAACTCTAGCCAGAGCTGGCACATAGAGCTACAGTTGTGTCAAGCTGTCTCTTGATAAAAGACTTTGTTTTCAGTTGCTGACCAGCTTATTCCCCAATATCTTCCTCTTGTTATGGTGCCTATATGTTGAAGTTGACTTGCCTCCCATCCCTTTGACACCATGCCCAGACTGAGCTCTTTACATTTGTCACCATAAAACATTTTCTCAAGCCCTCAAGTGATTTCTGTGGCTGTTTTTGCCTCCTCTCCAGTTTTGTAATACCTTGAAATATTTGGTAGATCACAGTGAGGGAAGGAAATGGAAGCAGCCTGGACACGGGCCAGGATCCCAGCCAGAGGGTACAGCGGGTGGGTAAGGAAGGCATCCATAGCACCAGGAATGTGCTTCCTTCTGGGATGTGCATGGAAGCTAGGACTTCCCGTGTCTCGGTGTTCCTGTGCCAGGTAGCAAACTGCTCATCCTCCTCAGACAGTGTTGTTCTCTGCTCAGATTATCCTCACTGGGCATCCAGGTCTTTGTGAGTACTCTTGTTAAGCCTGGTACAGAGTGTTAAAACAGTCTGCATGCTTCCTTGGAAATATCTAATCTTCCTCCCTGTCAGGACAGTTCTCAGCTTTATCTGCACCCTGGTCCAGCAGGACAGCCTTGTGTTTTAAGGTGTGACAGCCTGTGGATGCTACACACTCGCATGGACTTTTTTCTTCCTGACAGTCCTGTTATTTTAAATCTAGAAGATATATTTAAAATGTAACCCTAGCTTTTAATCTAAGCCTCAATGTTTAGGATGTGCCAGACATGGGGAAGGATCTGTGGTTTCACAGCAGGATGCTTCCCTTCCTCTGGCAGGGTGTATCAGCATTATGATGGGCCAGCCAGAGAGGTGGAGACTTTCCACAGTTCAGTGTTTGCGCCTTATTATACAGCATGTGGTTTGGGAAAGCTGCAGAAGCGTTCATGCTGGGTCGGGAAGCATTGAGGTTTGTGTGGTGGCCAAGGGCCTTTGAGAGGGCTGAATGTGGTGTAAAGCCAGGCCCTGGCATCTCAGAGGTCTCAGAGTCAGAGGCTTTGTGGTCTAAGTCATCAGTCTGTCAAGGGGGATACGCCACAGGTTGTTGTGAAGGTCTCCTAATTGTTTCTTGGCCATTTAGACCCAGTGTTTCAGACGAAAACACAGGAAGAAACTATTTTTTGTTGCTGAGTTTGGGGTTTGTGTAAAGCAAATATCAAAAGAGGCATGAGGTATTGATCGGCACCTTTGCCGCATGAGCCCCGAGGAGACTGCAGCGTGTGACTGCGTCGTGAAAGCAGCATGCAAAGGAAGTGCGCAGAGGCAAATTCAGGTTGAACTCGTGATGAGTAAGTTTAGCTCTCAAGTGTTTGTGTTCCTGGATTTTACATCTTGCACATTCTTTTGAGTCAGAGTTTGTGTGTGTGGTTGTATGTACTGGAAGCAACGTCTGGATGATGGCGCATGTGATGTGAGGACCAGAGTGCTGGTGCAGGGAAGTTAGGGATGTGCTTGGCTCGCTGTGGAAAAGAGAAGACTGGGAAAGCACCATGCACTGTCCCTACCTCAGCACCACTGCTGGTCCTAACCCTTGGTGCAGGGAGCCTGTGAGTGACAGCTCCAGGAGCTTCCTTCTGGCCTTGGAAAGCAATCTTTTCTGTGCTCCTTGCAGATTCGTACAGTGAGACGCTGCCCATAGACGGCCCTCCCTCTTTCCGGGGACAGTCAGTGAAGTACGTGTACAAGCTGACCATCGGCTGCCAGCGCGTCAACTCCCCCATCAAGCTCCTGCGTGTACCCTTCCGTGTCCTCGTGCTGCACGGTAAGGCCATGCCTGCAGATGCGTGACTGCAGGCGCAGGCCTGGCTGCACCCTGCCCTGGTGACGCTCTTGCCTTCTCCCCAGGGCTCAAGGATTACCAGTTCCCACAGGATGAGGCTGTTGCACCCTCAAACCCCTTCCTGGAGGAGGAGGAGGGCTTGAAGAAAGACTCTCGTCTGGCAGACCTGGCAACAGAACTGCTCATGGTGGCCACTTCCCGACGCAGCCTGCGTAGGTCATATCTCCTGCTTGAACCTGCTGTCCTAACCTGGGTGTGAAGGTGTGAAGGGCTCAGGGCTCGCTGTGAAAATCTCTCACTGACAAAGCAAAGCTCCGACTTGGGCTGTGGACAGCTCCGTCAGGGTCAATTTCCCATGGGCTCCTCCCGGCCAGTCTCAGGCTCTTCCTACTTCAGCCAGAGACACTCTCCCACCGGCACATCGTAGCCAGCCTATGGTTTGTTCTTGCTCACCACAGGCATTTCCCAAAGGGAATGCTGCCTCCAGGGACTATCCTTCACACCCAAGCAGCAAGCATGGGGTTGTGTCTATTGTGATTAACCCAGAGCACTGTATGGAGCAGAGCCTCATCCTGCTGCAACTCTTTCCCCTCTTCTTGCTCCACAGACCTGTATAACATCAGCAACACTCGTGGGAAAGTGGGGTCGTTCTGCATCTTTAAGACCGTGTATAAGATCGGAGAGGATGTCATTGGGACCTTTAACTTTTCAGAAGGAGACATCCCATGTTTGCAGGTCAGTGCTGGCTTTGGCATCACTGCAGGGAGAAGCAGAGGCTTTGGGTGGGGGAGAGGGTGGAGGGATTGAGGTGGCACCAGGCTGCTGTGGGGTTTCTGCTGAGGGTTTCTAGTGGGACCCAGCTGAGGTCCACTTGGGATGTAAGGTGGGGAAGGGCTCCAGTTCTGAGCTTGTTTAGAAAACAGAGGCCCTGGGGCTTTGGGCTGGGGCTGTGCGAGGTTGTGAGAGCGAGCACCCTGCCCATGGCCCTGCAGTTCTCAGTGAGCCTGCAGACGGAGGAGAGCATCCAGGAGGAGTTCCAGCGCCGGCGGGGACAGCCGGTCTCCTTCAGCACACATGCCCGCCATCAGGAGGCCTGCCTACACACAGCCCAGAGCAGCTTCAGCCTGCCCATCCCACTCAGCTCTACCCCAGGATTCACCACCAATATCGGTTAGTGGCCACCGGGGGGGGGACCCACCCCTGCTTGTCACCGCAGGGGCTCTGCAGTGTCCCCAGCCCTGCCCTTGCTCACCGGAGCTGTGTCCTGTGGGAGGGAGAGCTGGCCTGCATGAATGTGCTTATTTTCATGTCCCCTTGCCAGGACAGCCAGCGCTGAGGTAGCTGCTGTCCCCGTCTCTTGTGGTGTTGGCTGCTGACCCCCCTCTTGCCCACAGTGTCCCTGAAGTGGAGGCTGCACTTTGAGTTTGTGACCTCGGGGGAGTCGGCGGGGACATGCTTGGTTCGTGGGAGCCAGTCGGAGGCCATCACCTGGACTGGGGTGGAGCAGGTGGAAGTGGACACTTTCAGCTGGGATTTGCCCATCAAAGTCCTTCCCACCAACCCCATCCTGGCTTCCTATGTATCTCAATTCTCCAGCACTAACTCCATCACCATCTGAAGTGCAGTGAGCTGGTAGGGGCCTGTGGTGCTGCAAGCGTGTGCCAGCTGTGGGTGTGGTGGGCTGGACTGTCACTGGCATGCTGGGGGGCACACATCCCCCTGTCCCCTTGGGTTCATCTTCCACACCCAGGCAGGCACCGGGCAGGTCAGTCCCACCCTGGGGGCGGAGGAGCACTATCCTTGCTGCGGTGTCTGGTGCTGCAGCCCTCGGCTGAGAGGTGGGCCCTTCCTGCCTGGGCGAAGGTTCAAGTCCCAGCACTCACCAAAAAGAAATCTGCCTCCCAGGGAACAGCCTGACGTGCCTTTACCCCATGAGGGGCTTCCAAGAGGGAAAGGCCCAGTCCAGGGAAAGGAGAGGGAAGCTCTTTCAGCAAAGCCTGATACCAGCCTTGGGTGAAGGCCATGCCCCTCCAGAGAGACACCACAAGCAGAGATCTGGTGTCCAGGTGAGGCACCTGGGCTGGATGGGAGCCTGCCCTCCTGCCCTGGCACACGTCTTGCCTCTTGTGAGGGGTGTCTCCTGCACACAGCCCCCCTGTGCCCCCCACTACCCTCACCCAAAGGAGGCAAGTCCTGGCAGGCCGTCCCTGTGCTGCCAGCACATGCTGGTGTCTTGGATGGGGCCGCATGCTGTGGCAGCACAACTGCGATGATCCGAAACTGGGAAGCACTCAGCGCCCGGGCTGTTTGCCTGCGCTCCTGGGTGTGAGGGCATCCTGCTGGTCTCGGGATGCTTGGGCAGCTGGAGTGAATGCCTGCTGCGCATTCAGGAGCTGGGATGGAGGTCTCCCTGCTCAACAGCCAGCTCCCCATTGGTACCATACCTTCCAAAGACTTTTCCTCTTTGCATGGAAATCTAATAAATACCTTAAAGTTCAAAACTCAACCTTCCCAAGAGCCTTATTCCTACACTGTTACTGGTGGTGGATATAGCCCGCCCTGCATGCCAGTCACAGGCTGGAGACCTCTTTGTTTAATATCTTTATTGCAAGAACAGAAATATCTACACAAAGCTCTGCACAGCACAGGCATGGCACCAGCTGGGGCAGGCTGCCAGGGCAGCCAGCTCCGCCCTGGCACATGCGGATCGCTTCAGCTCCCTGAACCCATGTAGGATGCCCAGCTCCCTGCCCTACTCCCCTGCAGCTTGGGGCCGGGGGGGGACCTCCCCTGGGGACATCTCTAGTGGTTCCCCCTGCTCTGCTGCCCACCCCAGGCTGGCTCCGTTGCAGTGTTGCCCAGGGCTGGCTTGCAGTGCCAGGGACCCACTCTGGCACTGGGAGCTGCAGGAACAGGGGCATTAGTGGTTCCAAAGGTGTGTTGTGCCCCTTGTGCTCCGGGGCAGAGAAGAGGCTGGCTGCGGCACCTGGCTCCTGCAGGAAGGGCCACGGTGATCCCCAGCGAGCTCCCAGGGGCTGCCATGCAGGGGGACAGGGGTCTGGGAGGGAAGGAGGAGCTGCTTAGCTTGGGGCTGGATGCAGGACTACAAGACTGTAGTGATGCAGATGATTCCTCCGTAGCCCTTTCTTTAGTAGCTGGAGGCTTCCTACCCACCTGGGAGGAGATCCCAGAGGATCTGCATGCCCACTGTGTGCAGGACATCTCTCAGGGAGGGGCCCCCCGTTCAATTCAGGAAGCTGAAGGCAGAAGCAAAGCCATATGTACCGTGGCAGCGCTACGGTGTAAATATGAACACATTGGTGTGGATAGTGGTTTCCCTCGAAGGTGGCGGCAGTGACATCTCTATGGGCTGGGGCAGGTCTGGAGCATGCGGGAGGTGTGCTCTGGAGGAGGGAGGATGATGCTGGGGAGCACAGGGTGCTGCCAAGCCTTTATCTGCTCAGCCCTGCACCCAGCACCTTGTTGCTCAGCGGCTCAGGGGTGCCAGCCGAGCCCCACTCATGCTCCATGCTCTTCACGCAGGGCAGGCTGGGGTTGGCCTTCTGCACCACTGAGATCTGGCAGGTCTGCAAGTCGTAGTGGGCCTCACACCAGTCAGGGAAGTCGATGGGGTGCTGGGTGCTGCAGGAGAGGGCATGACACCATCAGCTTCCACTGGTTTGTGCCAGGGGCCTGTTGGCAGGGCCGGGTGGCTTCCTCTGCTGCCAGCCCCCCAGTAGGAGCGTCTCCCAGGCCAGTTCAAGCAGGCTGGGCCACAGCTCCCAGCACATCTGTGCATCTCACTGTGCTAAGACACCCCCAGCCCCTGCCTTGTCTCCCTGACTCACCCCACCACCCTCAACATGCTGGTGGGCTCCTGCCCATCTCTGGCCCTTGTCCCCCAGGGCCTGGCACCACACAGCCCTCCCGAGCTCTGATGTTTGCTTGGCTGTGTTTGTAGTCACCAGACCCACACAACCTCCTTGCCGCTGCGGGCAGTAGCCCACCCCCAGCACTCCTTGGCCCCTCACTCACGTCTCACAGCAGCCCACGCCAATGGGGTGCAGGCAGGTGCAGAGCAGGCAGTTGGCGCTCAGCCATGACTCCCCGAGGGAGAACTGCTTTCCCTCGTACTCGCAGGGAGCTGCAAAGAAAATGATAATGATGAGCACACGTGGGCCTGCATCGGGGCATGTGGGAGCCTCCTTGGCACCCCTGTGCCCTGAAAGAGGGGACAGGGGAGATGTCATGACCTCCCACCCACCCTGTGGTACAGAAGACACTTGGTGGCCTCTCTGCCACCCTGCAGGTATGGGTTGCCCAGGCATCTGACAGGGGCAGTGCTCCCATCCATCCTCTCCTGGCCATGCCCTGTCTCTCCCTGCTACTCCAGGAGCCTAGAGCAGATCCAAGTGGCTCTTGCTTCCCTGGAGGGGGCATATCCAATGCCCCTTGGGGTCGGAGCCTCTCTGCAGCCCTGGAAGGAGGCAGCAGAGAAAAGATGGGCAGTCGTCTCCCTTTGCTGCTAGTCCTGCGCATTCAGCCCCAGCCAGGCTCCTGCCAGGAGCTCTTCATGGCCCAGTGAGCTGTTTCTCAGCCAGAGCCCTGGGGAGCTGTTCTGTGGTTTATAGACTGCTCCTTCCACTCATCACTGGCCCACAATCACACTCCTGAGCTCGGCACAGTCCCTTCTGCATTTGCAGGCACACAGGGCAGAGCCCCACTGGCCCAGGGAAAGTTGAGGCCTCCTCTTCCCATTGGCCTCTTCCCGTCTCACCTCCCCACTTACCTTTAGCCTGGAAGTAGCATTTGGCCTGAGAGACTGGCAGCTGGAGGAGGAGGGAGAGCAGCAGAAAAAGCCTGCCCCAAGCACACCCCATCTTCTGCACTCGCATGGCCATCGCCAGTGTTGAGCTGGGCTTCTTCGCTGAGGTTGCCTTGCTTCTCTATTGCCTTTGCTACTTTCCCTTCTCTTTCTCTCTCTCTTTCTCTCTCTCTTTCTCTCTCTCACTGCCTTTTTAATGCTCTTCCCCTGATCCCAACAAGAGATATTTATAAAGTTCAGCTTTACGACCCTGGCCACCAGCTGTGCCCCACTGGAAAAGTTGTAAAACTCATTTCCTGATTTGAAAGGCATGAAAACAAGAGGTAGGATCAAGATTTTTAACAAGCTGTGAAAAGCTGATTCATGCCCTCCAGAAATGTCTCCAGTTGGAAGCCCCTGCGGGTGCAAGGCTCTGCACCAAAGGGAGATCCAAGGGACCCCAGAGGGGTTGCCCTCGGCAGGGTGGTGAACACGCACAGACCGAGCACAGGAACCCCTGGCCCCTGACCAGGAGAGCGCCAGGCTCCCCTCTGGTCATGCTGAGCCGGCTCTGATCCTTCACAGCAGCCAAGGTTTTGGGAGCATCCCATCTTGTAGGGACCAGAGAGGCACAGGCATCTTGTTAACCAGTGAGGGATGCAATGGCACCATCCTCGGGATGGAGATGTTCGCACCCAGCCTGGGTAACCCAGCATGGCAGTTTCACCCCAGCTCTGGTTGCAGGCATGCCAAGCTTGGGGCCACTCATGGACTGGGGGTGACAGCAGCGTTTTTTTGGCCAAGAGCTGGCAGTTTAGCAATTGCCACTGATGCAGAGCAAGTGACAAAGGCTCTGCGTGTGGCATGACCTAGAGCTCCTCTGAGTGGTGCCCATAAAAGTGGGGCTGTGCCAGTGTATGTGAAGCACCCACGAGATGCAGCCCCTTCCACAGGCTGGAGACTGGCCCCAGCAGAAATAGGCAATAGGAGGAATAAAATCAGGACATGAAGGTGCACTTGGGCAACAAATGACCTGAGAGGGGAATGAAGGGCTTGGCTGGAAGCAAGAAGCCATGGGAAGATGCCACACCACCCAGGGACGTGCCTGTGGTCCACACAGACCCTTACCCAGAGGGGCTGCCTCTGGGTTGCAGTGATGACTGTTATCAGCTGGCAAAGCAAGAGGATGGGTGAGATGGAGAAGGTCAGAGCCCTGGGAGCCACATGGCCCCCGAGAGCTACAAGCAAAGGGCTGAATTGCCAAGAGAAATTCACATCCCTTGTCAGAGGTGCTGCCGGCAGCAGGAAACGGGGCTCCGGGGATGGTCCAGCCAGTGGCTTGGCCAGCGTGGGGCCATGCCGGCAATGAGGCGGCAGCAGTAGCGGTAGCATATGTGGGTCATCTGCCCCTGTGTTAAGCTCCCTGCTTTCTGAGAGTTTGGGACAGGTTTACACCCTGACGCGTGAGGCTTAATATCCCTTCCAGAATTTGTGTTGGCATCCACTATTATAGTTGGATATTTTTGTTATCCACATAAATGCTCAATCCCTCCTTCAATCCTGCTAAATTTTGGCCTGAGCATTTTCCTGTGGCAGCCTAATTAAGCAGGGAGTGAAAAAAAAAAAACCCAAACCAAAAAACAAAAATCCAAAACCGCTTCCTTTTAACCACTTTGAATTCACCACCTTCAGATTTGAAGGCATAGTCCCTTCACGCCGGTGCTCTGGGCCCCCTCGCCATCATGTTGCATCCCCATCCTACATCTTGTGTTCTTACCTCTTAGAGAGCAGCCCCAGCTTTGCATCCCTTCTCCTTCTTGGAGAATTACCCCAGCCCTCTCAGAGTGCTCTGGATGATGTCATGCCCCTCTGGGTGGGGTGGCCAGGTGGCAGCAAGGGTGGGATCAGCTGGAAAAGGCCGATAATAAATCAGAGAAGTTTGGGGCACCCATGAATAACCTGCTGACCACAGGGCTGTGAGCTGGGATGATGAAGTGTATCAGTGACAAACAAAACTCACTCTTTGGTGCAGAGTTCTTACTATATAAGGAGGATAAAAGCATTTGTAGCCAGAGCAGTAAATGAGCATTCCTATTGTGTGTTTGGAAAAAGAAGTCTGGCGCACTAGTAACCACAATGAAATAATCCATCATGGTTTCATCACTGAGTACAGCAAATGTTAAAAGTGGTGGGTTTTATCTGGAGGCCTGCATGATTTGACCAGGCTTCCAGAAGGGTGCTGAAAATCTAGGGGGAGAGCATCTCTTGGCCTTGTGGAGGGGCACTGCCCCTACTCCATCAGGGACATGGGGAGGCCTTCACAGGATTTCTGTAGCCAGTCTGGTTTCCCAGAAAGTGGGTTAAGGCTACCAGCCCACTCATGGCCTTTGGGTATTTCATCAAAGCAGTTCCCTGGGTAAGTGCAGAGGAGGAGCAAAGGGGGTCAGGACACCCATCAGCACGTTGCAGAGGGACCTGGGCAGTGCAGCACCCTCCATGCTGTGGCTGTGCATGGGACAGGCCGGTGGTCACTCACAGCCTGTCAGTTCCGCTCTTCCCTCTCCTGGTCGTTCTCTTTTCCCTACTTTTGCATCACCGGGCACTCGCCCAGCACATGCTCCATGGGGTCTGAAGCATTTCGGTCCGGCTTATATAGGATGGGCCTTCTAGCTTGGAAAGCAGCAACTGAAGTTGGACTCGGTGCTTAAGACCTTAGGTACCCAAGGGGTGCCATGGCTGGAGGAGCTGACACCCTCTCTGGCTGCATTAACCAGTGCATCCCAGAGGAGGTTTTGCCTTGGAGAGTGAAAGAGGGCAACAGGTTTTGGTGCTCAGATCTTGAAGAGGCAACTGAGACCCAGGGAAGAAGAGCCTTGCTGTAAGTTCAGTCACAGATTTGTCAGGCGGAGGCCAACAGCAGGGACTGACTGCATGCATGTCCAAGCATGTCAGTGAGGAACCGTCACCACCCCTGAGCATCCCGGGACCCCACAGAAGGTTACATCCATGTCTCAGCCTCCCCCTGGCAGGACCCAGCTGCTCCTGCCTGGTCTGGCTGTTGAATTATAGCTGTGCCTGAGAAGAGCTGGGTGCTGCACCTCACCAAGGGCTGAGCATTGCTGGCCTCACCAGCAAAGGTTGGATGCTCCCTCTGCAGAGCTGCTGTTCAAGCCCCGGGTGCCAGAGGATGGCACCCTGGGCATGGGCAAGCAGCCACACCGGTAGGTGCTGGGATGGGGTGACAACAGCCCACCCCAGCCCCACAGCAGACGTGGGGGTAAGAAATGATGCTGGAGAAGTTGCCATCAGCAGGATCCAGGAGTGTTATAAAACCTGAATCTCCTGAGCCTTCAGCTGGGACTGCAGCTGCAGAGCAGGAAGCAAACAGGATCCCGGCTGGCATTGTGAAAGCAAACACCATAAATCCAAGGAAGTGCTACGATTGCTGTTTTAGGCACTGGGGACCTTGGCTCCTGCTCCCCACAAGTGCTTTATTTTCTCTCTAAACAGAAAAAAAAAAAAAAAAAAAAAAAAAAAAAAAAAAAACAAAAAACCCAACCCCAACTTATCACTGATCTGAACTGCCCTGGTGCTGCCTCAGGCCCTGGGGTGGCTGTGGGATGTGGGCATCTCAACTTGCCCAGAACCTTGAAGATGCTTCAAGTCCCAGAGCCTCCAGGGGACCAGTGCAGAGTGCAGGCAGGGTGCAGGCAGTGGGCAGGTAGATGCTAGCTCTGTGTTATGTCTGCTCACCTGAACACTCACTGTAATGGTCAGACCCTGGGGAAGGATGAGCAAGGAGGGTCAGAGAGAGCTGGGCAACCAGGAACCAGGAAGGGAGACAGAGTGGACAAAGGACTATCCAGGGAATGACAGTGAGCTCACTCCATCCTTCATCCCACAGCTGGTAAGCCAGATAGGACAGCTCCCAGACACTGGAAGTATGGGTGGGATCAGTTGACCCCACCAGGACTAAAGCAATGAGAGTGTTGCTCCAAAAAATGGACAAAGCAGAGGGCACATGATGAAAACTTTCATGTCACCTTACCCTGCAGGCTGGCTACCTGCTGGATGGAGCTTGGTGCCACCAGCAGAGCATGGGCTGGGAGGCATGCTGGCATGCCCTGCATCTCCCATGGGTGTCCCACGGGTGCTTTAGCCCACACGCTGACCCTCCTCACAGGGGACAACTGTTTCTAACCCATGAGTTGAGCACAAAGTTTTGCAGGGGCTCTACAAGTCCAGGTGGATTGTGTCTCTGGGTCCCCAGCTGTGGGATGGTGTCTGTGGGTCCCCAGCCATGGGACGGGGTCTGCTGTGGGATGGTGTCCGTGGATCCCTGGCCATGGGACAGGCTCTGCCCACCCCAGGCTGGGTGTCTCCTCCCCGCAGCTGGTGGCAGGCAGAGCTCCACAGCCCAGGCAGCCCTCCGCCATGGCTCCCTCAGGCTCCCTTGTTCTCTTGCCCTCTCTCACACAGTCTCATCCTCCCTTGCTTGCCCCCATGCTCCATCCCTCTCCATCACCCTTTGGCACTCTCCCTGGCCATTTATTCCAGGCCAGGTTTTGGTGCTAGTGGGTTAGCCACCCATCCCCACTGCTCTCAGCCCTGGCAGGGTGCTGGCACCCACCCTGGCACCCCAGCACCCCAGGTACCCCAGAACTCGAGGTGTGCTGCAGCCTGTGGCTCTGCCCAGGGTCCCCTCAAGGAAACGTGCCGGGAGGGCGCAGGGTGTTTAGGAAAACAAGACTTGGCATTTGCTGGCCATCCCGGGAAAATAAAAACATCTGGGCGGGCAGCCACGCAGCGAGTGCGAGAGGCCGGCACTCCATAAATCCCCTGGAGCAGGTGCTTTGTAGTCGGCACAAGGAAATGAGCACATTATTCAGCTCAGCTTAAACCCCCGAAACGTTTCCTGTCCTGTGAGTCAGAAATAACCCTGGGAGATCATTCCTGGGCCATGCAGGAGCTGCACCAGCCAAAAAAGTGCCATGAGCCTGTTGGGCCTGGGGACCTGCTGGGGAGGTCAGGGGTCCAGGCACCCCGCGATGGAGGGGACTGCCACGGCAGTGCTGTAACACTGGTGCTGACCCTGGCTTGTAACTGCTCTGGGATGTGCTGGGAGCCCCTGGGGACTCCCAGACCTGTCCTGGGCACCATGCTTCAATGGGATGCAGGAACAGGGAGAGCCCTTCTAGGTCCTGGACAGATCCTACAGATCTTTTCCAGACTTTCTCTGCAATCAGAAAAACAGATCCCCCCTGCACCCTATATCATCCTGGCACCCACATTGTTGGCTGGCACCCATGGAAGCATTCTTGGATGCTACCCTGCTTTAGGGACACCTTACAGGAAAAGTCATGTAAGGCTAGTGGCTTCATGGTGGAAGAGAACATCTGGACATGGGGCCAGGATGTCTCATACCTGGCCTGGGAGTCCCGGACAAGACAGAGAGGAAAGCAACACAGCAGGTGCCCCCAGCTCGACTCAGGCAGCACCGCCTGAAGGGGGTCATGGGTGACATGTCTTGTCCTGGTGCCTTGCAAGGACACTCATAGGGTCCCACCATGGGTCTGGGGCACGGAGAGGTGTGGGTGCTGGGGATTTCCCCACAGACACATTGGAACAGTCCTTGCTCTGAACCAGGGAGATGACATAGCTCCCACATTAACCATGTTTCTTCCTTTAAAATATTTGCCTCTGCTACATTTTTTCCGTTATTGGCACACAAACCCCAAACAAGGAGCCCTTCAGGTTTCCCAGACAGCAGGAGCACAGGACGTGCAAAGGTCACCTCGTGTGCCTGCACCCATCCCTGTGGTTTTGCACCCACCTGGCCAAAACTACCCAGACCTTCTGGAGAGGTTCCTCTACAATCTGGTATAGGGTGGCTCCTCCAGCACTGGGAATGGAGAGCCCATCAGGACACTGGCTCCCACTTGGATAGAGATGGGAAGTCCCAGTGGTGCCTTCTCCATCCCTGCCCTCTTCCTGTGCCCCACCTTTGCAACTCCATGTACAGCCCCCAGCCTCCAGCTGGATGGAGCTGCTGCCCCTCCATGCTAGATGTCCCCATGACCCAGTGGCATACAAGCCCTGTCATGGCAGTGCCTGGATGACTCCTTCACCTGGCCCTGGCAAAGCCAACCATGTCACAAGCTGCGTACTTGTGGTGCCTGCCATGCTCTTTACAGCCACCTCCTGAGGCTGACAGGTTCCTGGCCCCACTCTCAGTGCAGAGGTGAACGTGCTTGGCAGGGCCCTGCAGCTCACTAGCTTGTGTTGCTGCATCCCAGGAAGTGAAAAACTTTTTTTTTTAGCAATTAAACAATCATCAGCTTTGGAGACCTGGGGCTTGGTTTCACTCACTGGGAACATGGAAAACAAGACGGGACCCTCATGGGCATGAGCTCCCTGGGTCAGGTGGGCATGGCTGTGCCCTTGGTGCCCACCATGCTCTGGTCCTCTATGAGGACCACCAGGGCTACCATGGGCCACCATGGACTGCTACAGACTGCCACAGACCACCATGGACCACCACAGTTCAGCATAGACCATCATGGATGGCTGTGGACTGCCATGGACCACCACAGTCCACCATGGGCCACCACAAACTCACATGGATCGCCATGGACCACCACAGATTGTCATGGATCACCACAGACCACCACGAACCACCACAGTTTACCACAGACCATCATGGACCTCTGTGGACTGTCATGGACCATCACAAACTGTCATGGATTGTCATGGACCACCATAGACTGTCATGGATCACCACAGACCACCATGGATCACCACGGTTCAGCATAGACCTCTGTGGACTGCAGTGGACAGCCACAAACCACCACAGACAGACACGGACTGTCATGGGCCACCATGGGCCACCACGGGCCACCACAATCCACCACAGACCATCATGGACCCCCATGGACTGCCACACAGACCACCATGGACTCCATGGACCACCACGGACTGCCACAGACTGTCATGGACCACTGCAGACCACCAAGATCAGAGTGCTGGGCACAGCCACGTGCAAAGAAAACTTGTCAGCTCCAAGACGCAGGATGTCAAGCGCAGACAGGCTAAACTCATTGTGAGACTGGGTGATGGGGAAGGTGATATGGAGTTTCAGAAACCCTAAAGCACGGTGACCCCCAGCCCCACGTGCCCCAGGGAGCAGGCTGAGCAAGCCTGCCAAGCCCCACGAGACCCCATCCCCACCTTGGCCCCTCACCCCGCATCGCACTTGTGGGGGGGTGCCCTGGTCCGGCAAGGGTCGCAGAGCCGGGACAGCCGCCCCATGTGCCCTCCGGCTGCTCGGGTGTCCGAGCGGCAGCCGGCACAGCCCGGTAGCTTGCAGCCGGTGTTTCCCGACTGTGGGGGTGCAGGGTGCGGGGTGTACAGGCAGCGGTGACCGGGCCCCCTCTGCTGGCACACACACGAATACACGAGGTGCCCGGGCACCCACGGCCCCCCGCAGGGGCTCCCCATGCACCCCATACTGCCTGCAATGAGTCCTCCCTGGGTTGCCCCCACACTCCCTCCAGACTTCTCTGCTTTTTTTTCCCCCTCATCTCTTTTTTTTTTTTTTTTTTTTTTTAATTTTTTTTTTTTTTTTTTAAATTTTCCAGGGTCGTTTTCTCTGCTGGCTGCATCCTGCCTGCGGCAGGTCCTGCGAGAGCATCACCACCTCCCAGATGAGCGCCTTGCTGCCTGCTCCCTGCCCACTGCAGGCAGCGAGAGGACAGATCGGAAAAGGCTTTTCCCCACCAAGGCTTCTGCCAACCCCTTTGCCCCCTGCTGCACCCTGGCCTGTGCCACCAGGTGATCCCAGCCCAAGGTTTGGCGATGGCACTGCAGCTCAGGTCACAAGCCCTGGGGCTGGGCTGTGCAGCGTGGGGGAGCACGGAGGCCACAGGCCCTGGCACCATCAGCAGCACCCTGTGAGCTCCTGGCATCAGGGGCCGCTCCACAGAGGCTGTGGTCCCTGATGGGACCATCACCAACCCACCATGCCCAGCCCCGCACCCCACAGGGAAGACTTTCCAGACCCTTCCAGCTTCTCCTTTCCCACCTATACTCGTTGCCGGTTGGATTTCACTGTCCTGCAGCAGCACCATCCTCCAGCTCAGGCACTGCTGATGGCTCCATGCCGCAACCAGGACAGGGTATTTATAGCTGGCAACCCAATCCCCCCAGCTCGGGTGTGCCTGGCTGGGTCAGACAAGCTCCACGACCCTGCGACGGGAAGGACAAGTCACTCATGGTGGGGACACCTGCAGCAAGAGCAGCCATGATTGCCTGCAGCCCTGGCTGCGGAGGGACACATGCCGGGGCACCCTGGGGTGCCATGCCCGCAGCCCTGCTCTGCTCTGGGCGCCTGCCCCAAAACCCAGGAGGGGACAAGGACCCCCTGCCTGCTGCTCAGTGCAGCGTCCCTCACACACCTCACCCCGCAGGACCTTACAGGACAGCAGTACCAGCAAGACCCACAGGGTGCTCGTACAGCCACTGGACTCTCCCTTGTGCTCCCCTCTGTGCCCCACACATGCAAGATGTCCCCCCATAGCTCTGATACGTGGGGCAGGGACAGTCAGCACACACCCACACCCCTATTCCCACCTTACCCCCCCAATCCCCCACCCCCCACCGCCAGATGGGAGCAGGCAGCAGGCTGGGAATGTGAAGAATGCACCACAGGCACGCTGCCCCCACCGAGCCCCCCCTGCCCCACCGAGGCCCCTGCTGCAAATACAGGGCATCTCTGTTTTCCCCAGGGCTGGGGCAGCCCCCCATGGTAGCCAGGGCAGGCATCGTCTCGGGTCCTTCCCCAAATCCCCGGGGAGAACTGGCAGCCCCCATTTGCCCAGGTTATCCCACCCCCAAGGTGTCATGGGGGGTGGATTGTGCAGGGCTTCCTGCCCCAGAACCAGCCCTTGCCCCCCAAAGAGCTCCCCTGTACTCCACGGGCTGTCCCCCCACCCCCTCTG